GTTAAAAGTCAAAAAATTGAAAAAAAAATTATCTATTATCAATCAGATTAGCCGTCAATTACGTATTTTCAAAAATTTATGTATTATACTATGCGTAATGCTGCTTATTAGGGAATTCAAAGGCATTATGCTGCTAATTAGTAGAAAATCGCTGGAATTCCAAGGCGTTATGCTGCTAATTAGTAGAAAATCGCCGGAATTCCAAGGCGTTATGCTGCTAATTAGTAAAAAATCGCTGGAATTCCAAGGCGTTATGCTTCTAATTAGTAGAAAATTGCTGGAATTCCAAGGCGTTATGCTGCTAATTAGTAGAAGACTGCTGGAATTATATATATATATATATTTTATTAAAAAATACTGTTAACTACGCAAATTAAAATATATGACATATATAAAAATGATTGTTATTACGCAAACTATATATATAACCTTTTAAAAAATCTCAAAATCTATGCAAATAAAATTTTATGACTTTTGGAAATTTTACTAATATGGTTAAGCAAACTTACATGTGACCTTTATATATATTTTTCGGGGTCCTGTTCGAATGAAATCCATAAATCCATGTCAACGTCTTAATAAGAGTGAAAATATTTGGAATTTAGGTGTTATAGATAACATAGATTTTAAGGAAGCAACTTTTAGATATGGAAATATATTTGATATGACACGTACCAGTACACATACGACGCTCAGAATGGTTTTTCAACACCAAATGCCTTTTAATTTGTATGAAAATAAGAATGATGAAAACCAAAATAGTTCTCCACTTGAGTTATTTGGTATGAATCAAATGATAAGTAATACTTTGGATATTTTTGATTCTGCTTTAGATAACCTACTCAATGTTCAAATTAACTCTCAAGGCATTGCAATTTATCAGACAAATTTTGACATGGCCATTGTACATGATGAAATCTTGAATCGTGTTGAACATGGATGTAAAGTAGAACCTCCAAATGTAGTTATTTTAGAACCTGGTGGAGTTCCAAATTCTGACAAGGGTATTTTTGAATCTTTAGAAATGTACAAAAAAGATTTTGAATTAACATCAGAACAGTATTTAGATGTAGTTGCTGATGAAGCAATATTTCGAAGAATAATTAAATTAACAGATCAATGGCCTTACCTGCGTCCTATTCTTAGGCAATGGCATACGTCCAAGGATATGTGCAGTGTTTTGATTATTCTTTTTTCAAGTTATGGAATTTTTGATCTTGCAAATTCACTTGGAGTTAAATTTTTGGAAAAATTGGAATCTGTTGTTGATTATAGGTCCACTGTTCGTATTCTTGAATTAATATGGACTGCAGTATCTTTAGCAATACGAATCTACATTAAAAAAAAAAATATTAGTAAGCATGAAATTTGGGAAAATGCAAATTTGGCGCTTCAAATCTGGTACCTTTACTATCAATGGGCCAGAATATTTAAAGCTCATCGTATTGGCATTCGAGTTGGAAATTATGATTTACAAAAAAATGCTTTAGCTGCATTTGGTGGTTTATTTGCTTCAGCAGCTAAAACTCGGTATGCTAGTTCTGTATGTCATTTTCTTGGTATTTTGGAAAAGTTTTCTAAACTAGAAGATAAATTGCGTTATGCAGCTTCTATTAAAATAGATAATAATAAAAAACAAAAAGGACATTTTTTTGCATACGACGAAGCTCTGGAGACTTTCAGAGTGAAATTCATAAAACAAAATATAACAGGAAACGTAGTTAATATGAAAAATTTAAAAATGCAAATAAAATCAGTACAAACGGAACGTGATAGAATTAAAATCTTATTATCTGAATACCTTAATGATCCAACAGCATCTACCGAAAATCATGCAATAAATCAAAGATATGATGCAATGTGGAATTTAGTCAAAATTCTCCTCCAAGAATTTGACCAAACAAATGAATCATTTTTAAATAGTAATACGTGGAAAAATGTTTACCGATCACAACTAACAGTTGAAGGAGTAATTCAACTTAAGAATTGCTTCTCTGATGGAATAGTCCGCATGCAAGCAATTTATTATGAAGATGTTCTTAAGACCAGACCAACTCAGCCCGGAAGAAGCAAATTGGGCACATCTAGATTAAAAATATTGAATTTTCAAAAAGAACTCAAAGAAGCAAAAAGAAATAAAAAACAATGGAACATTCACGAACTATAGAATCACGATCACAGCCTCAAAAAGAATCTTCTGATCAACGTGATATTATAATGCAAGAACAACAAGAAAATGAAACAGGTAATAAACGTAAGCGAAAAGCTAAAAGGATTCCTAGTTTAAAAGGAGAAACTCTTTTAGAACCTTTAATTCTGAGTCAGAGTGAACCTACGAACGAAGAAATGAGAGAAAAATTAAATACCTTATCAGATGAATGGGATTTAAGTCGAATTAAGCAACACGTCCAATACCGAAGAAAGAAAAGAGCAGTTGAAAATGCCCATTAATGCAGTTTAATATAGCTTTATTAACAATCATTATTACAAGTTATAATAAAGTTTTTGACAAGTTTAATATATATACATGTATATATATAAAATACAATGCCACTTTTCTTGAAAACTGTTGTATTAACAACTTTTGAAGAAAACATTTCTGGAAACAGCGTAAAATATTACGGATATTTGAATATAAAATTTTTTGTTAGAAGTCGCTAAAGTAAAGAATCTCTCGAAAATATGTCAAAACGTACTAATCTTTATAGTGTATATAGATCATGTTATTACAAAGTTTTCACAAATAAAATAATACCTATATTAGGTTGAATAGGTATTTATTTACCAACTGAGATAATTTTTTTTGTTAGAAGAAGTATAACTTTAATCGTTTACAATACGTCAAAAGAATAGCGATTTACGGTAGTACAAGAATTTTAATTATAATTGGCATGTAAGTGTGACATGCACATCGACTGATATATATGTTTATTTGTTTTAATAAATTTATTATTTTTTTTATTGGTTTGGCAGGACTGGTGAATATATTAATAATATATATAATATTACGAATTAGTAATTGATATGTACAATTTCAAAAAAAAAAATACCCCACTCTTCTAAATTTTATAAATTAAATTTATTTGATAATCATTTAAAAGAGCATCTCTCTTCAAAAAATAAAAACAAATCAATAAATTTTACGTTTTTGCGATTAATTTATATATAAAATTTTATTAATTTTTTTCTCATTTGGCTGATAACTGTTAAACAATAAAAGAATTTTTATATATGAAACACAAAAAATTATTTTGAATTTGATCGCAATTTTGTTAAAATTCACTATTTACAATGATTCGTAAATTGTTCTATTTTTTATTGGTTAGAGTCTAAGGTTGCTTGGCTAAACTCATTTTAACTTTTAACAAAAGTCTAAACTTTAATTAGTAATAGTTTAAACTATGACAAAAGGTTTCGACAATAGCTAAATGTCTAAACTATGTCTAAAATTTCTAATTAATAAAATTTAAAATAAATAATCATTAATACATTATTATATATATTTAAATAAATTTTTTATAAATAAATATTATATATTAATTAATAATTATTAATAAATATAGTTAGACTTCTATATAGTAACATTCCATATAGTTATATCATATAAAATTTCTTTATATAATCATACCTTTGGGAAAAACTAATTTATATACTTATTATATAAAAAAATCTTTATATAATTACATCATAGTAAAAGCCTCTATATAGTTACTAATTTTTGCAGAATCGATTAGATAACTATATAAAGATCTGACTGTACTAATAATAATATATAAAAAGTAAAATTATAAAACTAATTATTAATTAAACTTACTATATATTTTAATATTTATATATAATGATTTAAATAATTAATATAATGTATATTAAATTTTATAATTGCAAAACTGGTTAAATTTATATTAAATCATATAATTTATTATAATAAATGGTAAACTTTATTAATTACTATGTAAAAATATGTCTAAACCTTTCACAGTTTTACCAGTTTCATCAGTTTCGCAGTTTCGCAAATTTTTAATTTTTTAATAAAATGTTTCAACTAGTTTCGATTTCAACAATTANACTCATTTTAACTTTTGACAAAAGTCTAAACTTTAATTAGTAATAGTTTAAACTATGACAAAAGGTTTCGACAATAGCTAAATGTCTAAACTATGTCTAAACTTCTAATTAATAAAATTTAAAATAAATAATTATTAATACATTATTATATATATTTAAATAAATTTTTTATAAATAAATATTATATATTAATTAACAATTATTAATAAATATAGTTAGACTTCCATATAGTAACATTCCATATAATTATATTATATAAAATTTCTCCATATAATCACACCTTTGGGAAAAACTAATTTATATACTTATTATATAAAAAACCTTTGAGATCTGTTTGTATTAGTAATAATATATAAAAAGTAAAATTACTAGGGAAACGGTAAACCGTTACGTAGTCCGGAGCTTATCAGTATATAGGTAGATAATCACATGCTCAATTAACCGATCGAGATAATTTCATGTGATATAAGAACCAATTAAACGTCGACTCAAAGAACAAGCGGATGGACAACGGGATATTTTGTACCACCATGGATAGAACATAAAGAGTCCTTCGCTACACTCCGAACTAATAAAACTGGTTATTAATTAAACTTACTATATATTTTAATATATATAATGATTTAAATAATTAATATAATGTATATTAAATTTTATAATTGTAAAACTGATTGAATTTATATTAAATCATATAATTTATTATAATAAATAGTAAACTTTATTAATTACTATGTAAAAATATGTCTAAACCTTTCACAGTTTTACTAGTTTCGTTAGTTTCGCAGTTTCGCAAATTTTTAATTTTTTAATAAAATGTTTCAACTAGTTTCGATTTCAACAATTGTCTAAACTACTTAGTTTCGCCCAGCAACCTTAATATCGGCAAGCTTGCTTTTACCTTAGCCTTTATTTTAGTTGCCCACATTGCAAGACTCCAGCTACCTATATTATATCACATTTTTGTTATGCTTGTCATATTCATGACAAGAAACTTATCCAAACTCCTCCTCCTCCACCTTCTTCTTCCTTCAGCTTACCTCATAAACATATATCGAAAAAACAAGATGATGGCTTCTATAAAGATGTAACTTCTTGGCACTTAGGAATTTCCTACCGCAAGTCTTATGCTTTCCACGATGTTTTTAAACATGATAATGGCTCGCATACAGCTCGAACTCTTATCACATATTCTGCTCACAAATCCATCTCCCATCCTATGAAGAAACAACTTGCCCATTAACACCGCCATGAAGCTCTTCTCTCAAACTGAAGCAAATTTTTATGGCACCTTGTTCACCCTGACCTACTTGATTCTTCTATGTGGATGGCTACTAAAGAACCTGCTGTTGTCATTCCTCCTTCTTTCTACAAATTGAATATGTCTACTACTGATTACTTACTTGTTCTGAGTGTACGTAATTTAATATTCTCATGTCCTGATATTTCCTTCTATCTGAAAGAATGCTTCCACCACTCCTCAGTTGCACTTGTATCCTCTAACTTCACGAGTTTTATTCAGAAAGTGGTTTTGAACCCCTCCTCTATAGTTTCAAGCTATTTCATTACTGACAAACCCACTTCTGGTCCATTTGTCAGTCTGAACTGTCCTATTATTAACCCTTAAGATTTTAAAACTCTTGGCTTTAGTTATTCCATTATTGATATGGTCTGAAGAATACTCTCAAATAGTGCTTCCCTTTATGTACCTTCTCATAATTTTCTTTGGTTAATAATTTCCAAGCACAATACCTCTTCAGTATCACAGAAGTATCTCCATGAAGCTATTCAATCTGTCATTACCACATCGGCCTTCTCTTCAACTTTTTCACATCTTTGGAATAGTGATACATGTTTTTTTTTCAAACTTAGCTGTGTTAAACCTTGTGATATCTTAATGTTAATAGATGTTTGCGCCCCTTGGTTTGACTCACATACTTGTCCTACTCCTTCTGATGCTCGAACACCGTGGAAATTACCTGCTGATTTTGTTCATCCTGCATTTTTATTGTGCTTATTACGCTGATTTTCCATACTTATTATTATTTTTAATTATCTTTTCTTCTTATCTCTTCTTCTTATGCTTATTTTAATAGAAATTTAAGCTCTTCTATCCCTCCCTTTCTATATATTATGAATACCAAATTTATTATTCTATATCGAAAATTTACATACAGCACCTTGGCAATTGATGAATTTACCTTATTGAATTACAAAATTTCACAAAATTTTATGTCAGCCAGAATTTACACATAAAACTTCGGTTAAAGATTAATTCGACTAGCTCTATTAGTGAAAATCTTCACCTCCTCAAAATCACGAGACCCTTCTGATGTCTCTTCTACTGCTTCTTCTCCTCATTATATCACAACTCTTCTTTAGCGTCAGTTTTTCAGAATTCCTGGATTTCTTGAATATCCTCTTCTATAATTCGGGGTGGATCTTGGATCTCGCACTTGGATTTTTTGCATCGCTTAACAGTTCAACCTCTTAGGATCTTTTTCTGGTAACAGACTGGATTTTTGGATGTTAGATAGTTGACTCACACTGGCCTTCAGGTAAAGTTGAGATATGCGATTCTGTAATAGTTCAGTTTTTCTTTTCTTTAATTTATTTTAGTTTAGATTTTTTTACTTGTATGAGTTGTGAATCTACTCCTTTTATTTTTTATTAGTTTATTTTCTTATTTTATAATATTGTTCATTTATTTTCTCAATTTTAAAATATAAATAAAAGATAAAGTCACAAGACTGTTTGTATAGTAAAAGGATAAAACTGGGTTAGTCACTCTATCTCAGTGGTTAGTCACTGAGACCCTCATTAAGCCTGAGTATGGAGAGGTCGTAGGTTCGAGTCTCATGACCACAGAAATAAAAAGAATTTTACTGCAGATGCTACAACCAATAGCGTGAAGGTACAGGGATTAGTGTAGTTAGACTGCATTATGGTGAATTAGTGTATACAGTTAGGCCGCATATTTCAACTAAGGGTCATGGTATCCTTTTAACGTTCCCTATGAGGCCATTGGCATGTGCGCAGTCCTGTCCTTGAGGTCACTACTATACCTTGAAGGGAACTTCTTGTCTGTGTGGTCACTTCACAATA